TACTACAATGAATTAAGAACATGCTCAAAGCTAAAGAGAATATACTTAATAGTGAATTTTAGAATAAAAAAAATTTTTTCACTTAAAAAATTTTTAAAAAAATTCATATAATTAATTTTTTGGTATAGTGCAAAAATTATTATTTTACAAAGTTTGTAAAAATTTAAAATTTTTTCAAAAAAAATAAATATATTTTGTAGAATTATAATATTTAATAAAGGAAGTTAAGAGTTTTATATCGTTAAAGTTTACTAGTTATGTGATTTACAAAAAATGAGATATCATGCTTTAAAAATTTTTAATATGGTGAAATAATAATAATAAGAGACAGTATATATAACAATATCCAAGCAGCTTGTCATTTTCAAAAATATAAACAATATGTAGCAAATTGATTATATTTTAAAAAATAATCTTCTTGTAGTTTTAAAAATATATTTTTTACTTCAAAAGTATTAGATGCATATAAAATTATCTTAAAAGATTGTATAATTAATATACAATCATCTTTAAGAATCTTATGTTTAGAATCATGTAACTAATGTCAAAAGGATTGTAAATATGAAATATATATAAAAGTTTAATAGAAGTTGGCCAGCAAAGATCAAGTGCATTTCACTCAACATATGAATCATCAGTAATAAAAATCTTAGAACCAAGTTGAGGCCCACATTATAAAATATATTAACTGGTACTATAGTTTGCAATAAGTTAATTGCATTTTTGATAGTAACTTCTACTTCATCTAATGCTACAAAAATTCCTAATAGTAATGCTCTAATAGCACAGTTTGTATAAAGAAGAAATATTAAAATATTAAATAGATCAAAAGATGCTGATGCATCAAAATAACAGATTTCTTCAGACTGTCAAATATTTTTATATATTCATTTTATTAGATTTGTTATGATGCAAAGAATAAAAAGACTATTTTGTAAAGAATTATAAATTTGAAGTGCTGCACTTTCATCACCAGACTTGTTATAAAGAGTAACACATTCCTGTAATTGTTTAAACATTTCTTGTCCATTTTGATCTTCCAATTAATTAGTACAAAATTGACTAAAAAGATATTTTATAAAACCTTTGTCTGGGCTTATTGATTAGTCAGCCAATAAACTTGCCAGTTCATCGTCATTGGAGGCAAACAAATGCAATTCATTCTTACAAATATGCCAAGCTGTAGCTGCAGAATGCTCCATTTGAAATAAATTAATATAATGTTGTTGAACCTTGATACCAACTGGTCAAAATCCAAGTGAAATAACAGAATTAGAAACGTGATTGTGAGTAAATCGTAAATTTATTTCAAGTAGAGCTGAATTATAAAACTAGACTTTTTTAATCGAAGATTAAGTGTTGCAGTACATCCAGTATTTTTATTATGCATGCTATTAGAATTTTTAATTTTATGCCTACTATTTTTCTGTTTCATTAAATTATTGTGAATACAGTGTCTTAACCCTCTAAAGACAATCTTGTTTTCTTTAACTGGATAGGTACATGTTAATCGCATCGTAGTCTTAGATATTTCCTGAAATACATTGAACCACTCCAAAGCACTTTCTTGGGTGTTGA